GGTAACGTGCTCGACATTCTAAAATGGATCCGACCGTCGAAGCGCTGTCTCAGCACAATTAGGAGATGATTCTTGCATCCGTCATCTCATTACAAACCCTCAATTTTCCTCTGATTCGTCGAGTCACGCGCGTCGAATCAGCTCGGCTTCACTTTCGCTCCTCGAAAATGTTGCTTCGGTCAATGTTTGTTCCAGCAGTACGGATCGCGGTCCAGGGCGGCGCTCTATAGGTCCTCGGGATGCATCCTTCAAGGACGATCTCCTGAGAATGCGAACACAGGCGTTGGTATAGACCTATGAGGCGCGTCTGAGAGCCTGTCAACTCCATCTAATAAGAGCACGTCCGAGGAGCGCTCCTATTCGCGGGAGGCATCGCTGATTTTCTGCGAAAAAAATCGGTCCTCACCTCGTCTTCAGTGAAAGGGCCTGCATTTCCAATGGGAAACCTTTACGAAATGGCATTTTCCCACCTGAAGCGCCGGCAGCAACTCGAGCCGCTTGTTCATCGAACGAAAGTGCTCAGAATGTTCCTCTGTAGAACTGTTTCATCGAACGATTGCCAGATTCAACCTCATCCAAGCATTGGGCTCACGTGCTCATGCCTGTGTCTGACTTTGCGATGATCAGGGTCGATCCGAGCCCTCCGGGAAACGGCCTTTCGCGTCCCTCCTCGACTCGAAAGCGAATCACCCTGGAGGAAGTACACATTCGAGTCCCGGTCCGCTGTTTCTATTTATTTGGGTCACCACCGGACGAATTAAGGATTTACCTCCGCCCCACACGGCGCCACAGAGTGAAGGGCTTGCTCTTGAATAAATCCGGCACCGGGGAGCTGTATAAGTTCGTGTTTCCGATTCCTCGTATAACATTGTTTTTATTTTCCCGAAGCGTGCAATGAGGCCCCGTAGGAGGGTCCTGCGTGACTAAAGGCAAACAATAGGAATTCCCGCCGAGCTGAACACTTAATCAAACTGAGTTTGGCCATTCTGCAGGCGTTGCTTTACTTGTTTCTCTCTGCCGGCTCCCCGTTCATTCATTCGTCCAGCCAGACGACCGGGCAAGCGGCCGGCTGATCGGCTCCCTGGTTCGTGGACTTTCTATTTGTGCGGCAGCAGTAGCGGCATTATCAACCTGCAATTGGCAGAACTTTCTCTTTCAGAGGGGAATGGACTAAACGGAATGAGTTACGATCGTCGCGAAAACGATGACGCGCACATGTTCAGGGACCCTTAGCGGGGTTCATAAGACGTCCAGCGATTCACAATTCACAACTAAGCGGGCATTCATTCTCCATCAAGGGAATGAATACTTCCGTCGTCTCCGATGCTTCCCGGGTAGCTCCATCCGGCAACTTTTTCTGTCGGAATTTCATGCGTTCTGGAAGGCGTGACGTTTCAAGAGAATCATTCCTGTGGGAATACGGATGACGAGGCTCATCGTGACAGCTCTTCGTTCACCTCCGCCCGAAGACGTGGAGAAGTGGCCCGCTAATTCACAGCTGCCGAATCTTTTCCGTAGAGAACAGGTAGTAACGAGCAAGCCTAAATCACCATCGGGAAAGAGCCCGCGCCCGCCGTAGATGTCGGCTGTTCGCTTGGTTGGTTGGTTCGTACGCTGGTTGGTTGCTTCATCAGGAGTGAGATGTGGCAGTGGGTGCGATAATGTATTTCCTGTCAAAGCGAAAAAAGCCTTTTCCCTAACGATGAAGCAGTCGACGTCGTCTCCCTTTTCCGCCGTCAGGTCGATGAACACAAAGCCTCGCACAAAGCATCGACCACCACCTCTTTCCTTTCTCCTTTCTCTCTTCCTGCATTTTAGCTCATTTCTCCCTCCGCGTGTACCGCTTCATTATACTATGCCACTCCATTTCCATCTCTCTACTCGATTATCCCAATGAGGCGCCAAGATGAGATCCAGGAGAGCGACGCCGACGGTCGGGATCCGATTCTCCGAGTCGAATCAGAGTCCGATCCGGATCGACACCAACATAAGGATCTCGGACCGATGGCGCAGGGCAGAGATGAATCGCTTCACGCTCGAGGAATCATTCGCTGATTCCAAAAATCTCTGATATTGAGATCCAGAAGCCTCCGTGCGCTGCTCTTTGATGATAATGTACGATTCGATTATGACGATCAAAAAGAAATTAGCAACTATAACATGGTAATTAATTCTTGCTTTATAATGATAATAATTCTAATGATGATCAGAGAGAGAAGGGTATTCGGTCGGGCTCCGCTCGAGACGACGGACATATGATCGAGAAACAGTGACAATCAACTTCGCACGACGCCAGATTCGCCATTAAGCGTCGTCGTGAGGAAAAACGCCGGGAACGCTCCTCCCTGGATGCTTCTCCTTGTTCATAAAACCTCTCAGGTTTCATTACCAGCTCGGGGCTCTCCGACAAAGTGTTGTCAGACTCACCCCGTTGTCGCCCGCGGGCCAGAACAATTCCGGATCCAGTTTTTACACTTCCTCGAGACTGAGCGAGAAGGCACATATGCGCATGGACAATTACTGCAATCAAGACGATTTCCCGCATGCCAAACGCATCAATGAAATGCGTTTGTCGCCCAGATCTACGGCGATTCTCCTTCGCCTACGTCCCTCGGATGGGGAATCAAGTCCCCTTGCAGGAGAAATTGACTTGGCCTTCACTCAGAAATCTCGAACGCGAAAATAGGAACCCCGCTCATCGTTGATGTCGATATACTCAATCCATTCGTCACCGCTCGACGTTCCATCCCAACGTCCAACGACGTAAATTCGTAGCCCAGTACGTAAATTATCGCAGTAGGACTTCCACCGGAACATTTCACGTTTCACCGAAGACAGCGGGGACCCGCCGTCAGCGTGCCCCGCACGACGATACGGTAATGATGATGGTAGCGGTGATGACGTCAAAAACGATGAGCACAACGGCGATCGCAGATACCATGGTAGCCCATAGAGCAGAGATGGAAGCGAGCGATGCGTCCTGTAATGGAGCGCAAACACCCGCGCCAGTGAGCGGGCTCATGACCTCGGCCCAGGAATGGTGTCAATCATATGGGAATTCGACACCCCACATCGTATGTCGGCCTCTGAAAGGCTCTTCTTCCTGCGTCTCGCTCCTGAAGATCCGCAGACGCCACGCCTATCATTATACAGTATTAGGAGTGGACCTCCCATATGAGAGGACATTTTTCCGACGGGAAGCGGATGCTCGTTCGGCGGACATTTTAGTGAAAATGGATTAAAACTCGGACATGGCCGAGATTGAGCATTCCTATCGCAGGTGATTCGAACTTCCTATGATAGTCTCTGAGCTGCTTGGAACCAAGAGGAATCTCCTCAAATTGGATCGCGACAGGCTATGTCACCGATCCGTAGCGATATATTCGTACACCGAGGAGGAGCGTCCTCCGTTGGCGCTCCAAAGAGAAGAAGACGGCAGAAGCTCGTCGCAAGGAACACAGTTGGGCCGACGGAACCAGTTCGCAGTAGCGAATTACCGCTGTAAGGAGCGTCTTCTGTACTCGGGACCCATAGATTGACGTTACTCGATGCCATATCAGGCATCGGAAGTCGAGATCGCTTCATCTGTCGACCGGGGCGCTAGATTCCACGATGTGAAAAATACGTGGGAATCCGCGATTCAGCAGAACAAACTTTGAGAGCGGACAATTTTCCATTGCGAGCGAAAAACGGCCAAACGGACGGAAAAAAGAAACGTCCTCGTATGTGGGAGGTCTAATTATGAGCCTTGATATATTGGAGTAGAATGACTGTCAATGTAGAACATCCATTCGATATCGGACTCCGAGAAGCACCGAAATTCCTCGGAACTCCTGATGACTGATGAATGCGCCGCGCCGTTCAAAAGAAATGCCGTTCATGATTTCGTCCCCGAGGGCTCGCGGCTCGCATTCAGCTTGGGGGAAGGCGATATGTATTACGGGCGAAGCTGCCAACATGTGATCCTTCGAAACTCACGGTGCAAAAGCTCAGACTCACGATTCATTATTCCGGTGCAGATCGCCCATAGAAAGTTAGTTGTTGCATTGAAATCTACGTCGATCATCTCGACCGCAGCGATCTATGATATCAAGCGCCACCCTGTCGAGGCACGATGTCCAGCAAAAATTCCAGAAAGCAGAAGCTAAAACCCTAATACTCGTTAAGTTCATACCGAGCAAGTACTGATCAGGGGAGGAATCGTTTAAAACCGATGCTCGTGAAGTTCGGTCCTTTCTCGGCTTGGCACATGATCAGAGAGACCGCTTTATTCCACTGTAAGAGCTCCGCCGGCGGTTGGAAATTCCTTCGGCGTTCCCGATTGGGCTCGGAGAGTCTTCTCAAGAGAAATCTGAATTCGGGAGCGAATATCAGCCGAAGCCTTCCTTGCACTGATGAGAGCCTGCCAATTAATGAGCATGATGATTGATGCTGATCCTCGCAGAGTCCATCGGTATTTCGATTTGAGAAGCATTCCTACTGCGAAGAGAATGCTGGGATCACTGTGAGTCGTCTCGCGCCGAGTCGATTCGAATCGAGAGCATGGGGGCTGTCCCTCCGAGCGCCTCCGCATGATGCAAATTCGGCAACATCTCGGCGTAGCGTGCAGAATTCGATGAGGCGATGCGAGGCAACGACCGTTTTCTTCCCTTGCCTTCGATAGACATTGGTGTCACGTACCAACGAGGGACGGTGCGCGCCTCAAGTTCGAGTCGCCAATTCTCGCATTTTCCATCATTGCGTCTCATACGGGAGGGAATACTTCTGGGTCTGGAAGGACGGGACATGAGATCAGAGACACCTCTGGGTCACCATCACGATACGGAAGAGGGACAGTGACTTCTGGGGAGTATGGGAGAGGAATCTCGGGCATGAGGTGCTTTCAACGCGAGATATTCATGCCCGAGGTTAGGATCTCTTCCAGAACTTAAGGGAAACTCACATGATGACTTTCCGTTCAAACCGCCCGCGCATCTTCTCGGTCCAAGATGGCGGCACTCACCGTCGTTCGTTCGATAACATAACAACACATGAATCGCCCCTGACGTCCAATTCGATTCAGTTTCTCGAGCTGGGACCGGGGAAGTGCCGCCTTCGAGCATCACTCGAGTTTCGGGGCCATGGCCGTGGCTTTAGCTCTGATAAATAAGGATGTGAGTTTGGAGTCTACCCTCACAATGCTGATTTCCCCGAATGAAGCAGGACAGACGGAGAGCGCCTGTCATTCAGACATTGATCCCGATGGTTCGCTCGACTGGAGGGAAAAATATCCACTTGATTGCTTAATGAGACTAACTCGTATTCCTCACGAATTCGATCGTCCAGAAGGGAAAATACGTTCGATCAGCCGTTCACTCTTTTTCCTTCGAATTCAGAACTCTCCGCTGTACCTCCGGACTGTCGCGGAACCGGCGAACGGAGAGGTCGCTCACAAACTTCTGTACATGCTGCATACTTCGCTGGACGTTGTTGAGGAGAAAGTCAACTCATCAGTTCCCGGCAAGTGAGTATGGACTCATTCTGTTCGAATTACATCTGATTCTGTCGAATGACAAGAAAGTATAGCGACTGAGAAAGTGTCTCTCCGTGACCCTAGGAACGACTCGCGGGATCTCTGTCTCGGGGTTCTCTACTCATTGGATGAGTACAAACTGTATGGTTACGTGACGAACACCAAGATAAAGATAGTCATAATTGTCGAGCTCGGGGTAGCTGTGCAATTCCGGGACAACGATCTCAGAAATTGGTTCAACCGTCTGCACCAGGCTTATACCGAGGTCATAAGCAATCCGTTCTACGTCGCTGGCGAAGAGATCAAATCTAAGTGAGTTGGGATGTAAATCAGCGAAGATTGAGGAGAATCGAAGAGCTTCGAGATCAACTCGGAGAATCTTTCCTCTCTCTAGCCCTTTGATGAGTGTTCCCGATTGTTTTGCAGGAAATTCGAAGCTGTGGTAAATGACATCATGCGGAAGCAGTAGTATGCGTGGTCACTGGATAGAGCCTTAAGATACTGATGTTACGTTCTGTGAATATATATAAATAAAGTCTCCAAGAATGATAGAGATTCATGAGTTTTCCTCCGCTGCTTTCTGATTCAGGATTCTCTCTTGAAGAAGGAGTCGGTCGCTTCAACGTCATTCCCACATTAGATATTTAATTCTTTATTTACAACCTAGGAAGCAGATACTCAAACAACATTCTTTGACTTCTATCGTCAGATTTTTGCCACTTTCCCCTTCGGCATTGCCTCCGATTCTTATGATACCCACGCCGGCTGTCTCGGACCCAGGTCCGGGACGGTATCGATGTTCTTCTCAACAAACTTTTATGAAAACTTTGACCTTTCCCTCATTATCACATGGGGATGGCCTCATCTTGGAGGGTGAGTTCGGGGCTTGTAACTTGACCTCACCAGGGAAAAATAATCTCTCAACATTCAATTTTGATGAGGCACTTCCGGCAAGAGCGCTGCGAGGATTGGGCGCAGAATTGAAGCATCGAGAGTCGAAATCACATGAGCCTCGGAACATCTCGAATTCGATTTTTTCGACATGCGAACGCTGTCAGATTCTGACCGAACTCCCGTTTCTCGGAATTTTGCAGGGTGAAGGATTCTCCCCGATGAGCTCGTCGGCTCCCGGCTTGAGAATTCCTCTTGCTCTCCTTCATCCGACGGATAACAAGCTGTCCCGAAGGCTCACCAGCGTCGGTGACTCTGTCATGCATCTTGTCCTCGTTTCCCGTGAAGTTTACTTGGATTCATTCTATTGAGCGGATACTCGAGCATGGTTCCGCGAAACGTCTATTGTCACCTCGCTAAAGCTTCGTATTGGTAGTTTCGCTCGGCTGTTGATGAGTATTGTTGTGCTGCTGTTGTTGTTGCTGTTGCGATTGTTGCTGAGGGAAATTGCCTTGTACAGACACCACTGCGGTGCTCGAATACGAAGCTGTGGGCTTCGGCTTCGTGGTTTGCTGCTGCTGCTGCTGCGGCTGCTGTTGTTGATCCACAAGTTGTTGCTCCGTATGCTGCTGTTGCGATATCTGCTGTTGCTGCTGCTGCTGCGGTGGCAGGTGCTGGTGCTGTGGTTGAAGAGCTTGCTGAGACTGCTGAAGCTGCATAACTTGCTGCGCTTGTTGCACCTGAACTACTTGCAGAGTTTGTGGTGGCGCTTGATGGGCTTGTTGCGCTTGCTGAATTGGTTGATGTTGCTGTTGCGCTTCGTGGTGTCTCCGGATCATTTCCCGGATGATTGAAACTCGCTCAGCTTCATATCTGTAATTCTCTGTCCCTTTAGAGCTCAGATCGCGGATTGGAGCTGGCTCGCCAACTCCACCATATTATCCGGGAGGACGGAGGCGGATGTCGAGAATGATTTATCGATCAGAACGAGAGGATAGTCGAAGCGGGGCGGGATCCAGAACTCACCTCATGACGATCTCCTCAACCTCTTCCTTGTATAGCCGACTCAAAATCGCTTGGAAACATTCCAACTCAGGTAACTTAAATAACAACCATTTGATCTTGTGGTCGTGCAGCGCGGGTGCTCGGGAGTAAACCTGGAATACCACACAACCTCAGACTCTGAGGCTCGGGAATCGTTTTGCGGCTTCGAATACACCACTGGCATCTGAGAATATAATAATCTTCCTTCGAGCGCTCACCAGCAACCATTGCGGTATCTCTTCCGTCAGGTACGGATTCGGTGGCACAAGAACATTATGTTGATGGAACTCGTGATGCACTGGCGGTCCTCTGGGAGAAGGTACCAGCGCACCCTGGGATGCCATGGGGCCATAATGCGTCAGACATGGATGCTCATATTGCGACAGGCGACTTATGTGATTCACGTAGTATACTCCTGCAAGGGGATTCCGCCGAACTGAGCATCCATCCATTCTATTTATTCACTAACGTTCGGCTCCGTTCGTTCATCGACCCACGACGCGCTCGAACGACGGAAAACTCAAGAATGAGGGAGACGGAAGCGCAAAATTATTTTCATAACAGTGCCGGACTCTATTTACCGAAATCTGGATTTTCTATGCGTTCCCAACCCGTCGGCAAGCCTTCCTTTTCTAATGGATGGTTCCAATGAGTGGTTTTGGTGTTGTGATCGATGTAGTATTTACGTCCACGCATCGTCAAGTCGACTGACCAGCCCGGCGGTAGCGGGAGCTCATCGCAGTTTTGGTAGAGTTTCTCCTGTGGAAAGAATGAGATCATGTCACAGAGAATATCACCTTCCTGCTTATGGGAGCCCTTGAGATAATCCTTGGGGGAGTATCTCCGAAAGAACCTACATTCTGTGTTTGACACTGGATTTGTTGGGAACCGACGTAGTTCTTCTCGTCGTAGTAGGAGGATGACGCAGTGGACGATCCTACCGACGGCCGATGATGCATGAGAGTCACCCCCGGTTGCAACGGCAACAGACGGTCCTCATCCTCGGCACGCGAGAAAATGCTGGAAATCGAGGAGATTCCAGGAATATCGAACAAAAAAACGATCCGACTCAAGAGCATCGCAGGAAGAACGCTTCATATTCAGCTGGAATTTGCCTCAATTATTCAACCGACCTCGAACTGGAGCCGAGATGATCGAACGGCATCAACGTCACTCTGGACCCCCCGAGTCCATGGAATTGGTGATATTTGGGATCGTTTTGGTATATGGGCTCCTGCGTCACCGGATCGAGCTGGAACGTTACATCGATCGGATCGTGGGAATGCTTGAATTGATCAGTATCGATTCGAACTTTCGATGAGTTCTCTGACAGTGGGGACTCACCTGCGAGGACGAACACGACACCAAGGATTGACTAGATGAACTTTGGGGCGGCGTCAGCATCGTAGATGCGGCCAGTTGTTGAGCCATGTTCGCATTAAGGTATATCGTTTCGACTTGCGGCATCTTTGGTTGCAGTTGCTCCCGGCGTAATTGTTCGAAATTCGCGTAGTCCGCGCACGTTGCCTGGGAGGGCATCACGAGAATTGTTTGCTGAGAAAGTTTGCTCATAGGGTCGGCGAGTTGGAGCGCGGGCCAGCTCCGTACAGGACCCCGCGCCAAAGCACTCGATGGGGCAGTCGTCCCGCTCGCCTGAAGGAGAATGCCGAAGTCTCAACCGCTCGACCCCAGAAGGGAAAGTCGTGGAATGGGGGAAAACGATTGCGATTCCCCTTCAGTCAACCACCCTCGCGGATGGAAATTACCTGAGCTTTTGCTTTGGCACATTTTTCAGCGAGTGATGTGGGTGTGGGAGTTCGATCGTCCAGTGACATCAACGACGAACATTCCCGCACCCCGGAGCAGCTGACTCCTTTGGTCTTCTTGGTTTTCCCCCCGGACCACGTATTTACAACGGTGAGATTCGGTGGCGTTTCTTTCTTAACGTATTTCCCTAGTGGAGAGATTCGCGGTTAGCACTTCCGAGGGGTTGACGTCGAAACGTAGGATTCGAAGAAGAACTCACCCTGAATGCCATCTCCAATCTTCTTCTCTTTTTTCTTGGACAGCATGATGTCCGAAGTGTCTTTTGGAACAAGGCCCTCACTCCCCTCGGGCGGCTTCGTTCATTCTGAGGAAAGATTGATGGGCGTCAGATTTCCCAAGGAGCTCGTTCCGTCGAGAGATTTTCGGGCAGTCTCGTCTCAGAGCTTGAACCACGGAAGCATTGCAGACTGGGTCTTCTGCGAAAAGTCGTAGGCCCAAAGCTTTCTGGGTATACCTCCTATATGTGGGTCTGAGGGACTCCTTATCGCCAATTCCACAAATCAAGTCGATCACCACTATCCTCTGATCCAACCCTCGAGTCGATGGAGTCCAACGACGGTGACAAGTTTTTCTCGGGAGGGATGTGGACCTCTAGCTTCGTTGCGGATAAGCATAGTGAGGGCGCGCGATTACGTCGTGATGTGGACCACAGCTTCGGAACGGTAAAGGCTCCATGGCCAAAGTCAGAAGCTTTCTCCCTCGTGGAAAAGCCTTTCGAGGACTATCCTCTCGGATATGAAAGAGTTTCCAAAGTTCCTCAGCGCCGGTCTGTAACCAGAACACCACAGGGGGTTCCGAGTCACGGACGGTGATCGGGATGTCGATAGAGAGTCAACGAACTTCCAAGTCCTTTTCTCCAACTTCCGGCTCCTCAGAACGAACAAGGGAGCGCTTACCGTGAAGTGTGAAACTTTTTCACTCGGATATAGAGAAGAATAATTATCATCGCTCTGTTATGGTGGTAGTCTCCAACGCGGGGTTGCCATATACCGTCCGCTGTCTTGGGTATTTCGTGCTGCTGTGGCGAATCTTGAGCGGTCTTGCGGCGCAGAACGCGTGTGAAGCGCGCGGTTCCGGGAAGCCTCCGCGTACAATACGCGCTGACTCTCCCTCTTCTGGTCGGATTGAGTTTGAGAAAAAGATGAGAGCGATGGTTTCATATTGGATCGAGCTTTTATTTCGGTTCTCGTATATCTCCCGTGTGGGCGTCAGAGTCGACCATATGTAAGGCTAGCGATTCTGCACTCGTAACAGCCAGAACCGATCAATTCAGGTGATCGTTGAATTTCGGAAAAATTCGTCCGAGATGAGATATTTCTCATACATTCGAGAGACTAGTAATCTACCCGTGGTGTGTGACGCCATAAATCGACCGAAAACAACATGAAAATAATGTACCTAGCTTGAATGGTCCCATCGCGAATGTAGAAATCGTAGACTCAAATAACGTGAATCTTGGTACCCCTCCCAGAGCAGGCACGAGGTATGGGTTCCGAATTTCGAGGCAACAAAGCAAAGCTAAATCAAAGTATACAAGGACGACGCCGCCTACCCCCATCATTCAATGACTCCGAGTGAATTTTAGAGAGCGCACGGAGCTGTCGCAACGAAGTCCCTTTCGAATGATCGAGTTGAGGTCCAGTTTCTCGATGAGAAAATTCCTTTGATAGGATCGAGAATTCGTACACTTCTCATGCAATTTGGATGCGACCGAATGGGGCTTGAGCGAATCACAATGCGATCACCTTCAGTTCGATTTCTCGAACATCGCGCCCATCCGATTGGCTTTACCAGTCCGTCTTCGGACCGCGGGTCCCTCAGTAGCTCCTGCCGAGTTCGATTCTTGTTGAGGTAGCGCCTTCGCAGGATTAGGCTGAGGCTTCTGAGAATCCGCTTGCTTCTTGGTGGAGTCTGCTGCACGCGCATCCGTTGCAGCACGCTTCTCAACTGCGTCGGACTTGTCGTCCTCACTTTTCCACATCGGTCCACGTATGGGGGCGACCTGAAATCGGGAGCTCCATGAGAGCGACGAGAACATCCAATCGAAGCAGACGGCGGCTATCGACAGATCGTCGCCAATTCATCGTATCCGTCCAAAGAAAGTTCGTTTACCTCACACACCAACGGGGTCCTCTTTTTCTGATCCTTTTTGCCCGACTCGGTCCCAGGCTTGCTGTCATTTTGCGCAGGTGCAGATCCGGCTTTCCTGCCGGCTTGTGCGAGCAAAACCTGCGTACGAATCGATGGAGGTCAAAATCCGCCTGCGTAACATGGGACGGAGAAGCCTTGTACATACAATAAATCATGAATTTTCGTGGATCGGCTCACCTGCGACGGTATGAAGCCTCTGTCTGCTTTCGAGTTCGACTTGGCCCGCGTTGTTGGATCCTCGTGATAGTTACGCCTCGGCTGCTGATTATGGTGCTGATGTGGAGGGTGACAATTGTACGTTTGTTGTGGCGGGCCATACGCATATCCGGCATGGCTTGGTCTCCCGTGGAAATGTCCTCGAGGTCCCCGACTTGGAAAATCAAGGGGCCGAGGTGGACCGGCTTGATGTTTCGGATGATGGTGTCCTCGAGGATCGTGCGGATGGCGGGGGACCATCTTAGGATTTTGGTGCTGATGGAGATGACGATGTTGCTGATGATGATGAGGATGTTGCTGATGACCTTGGTTTTGGCTGATGTCGGGTCTCTCCACCGGGTTGTGTGCGAGGAGCTGCGGGGGCAAAGCAGGGACAACCATTGGGGCTGTTATGGCGCCCAAGGACGATACTGGAGTCGGAGAACCTTGGAAAGACTTGAAAAACTCCTCCACGGAGATTCTGTACCCAAGCGCCGGGTTTGCTTGCGGCTGCTGGGGTTCTTGCGCGCGCTGTTGCTGTACTTTCGGCTTTGCTTGTTCCGGCTGCGGCTGGCGGTGTTTTACTTGCTGCCGCGAGCTCCTCGAGCCTTGCTCCGCTCTTACACCTGGAACGAGCTCTGGAATCAAACTCATTCGGTGTGCTGAGTGGCAGAATCCGGAATAGTGAAGTTCGCGTGCTACGGGGCTCCTCACCTGGGATCTCGTTGAAAAGTTCGGCAACACTGATGTTAATTTCCTTCGCTTGTGGAGGTCTTCTCTGAGGAGGCGTCGTCTGGGCGGGCTTCTCCGGGGAGCGTCCCGTCTCTCCCTTCTTGCTATTCTTGCCGGGCTGGCGGTCGCCTTTGGTATCAGGTAACTGGAAATTACCGAATCTCTTCATTACCCCGCTCATGCCGCTGTCGTCGGATCGATCTCAATGACCCTAATTATCGTCGCACCGGGAACGGGCGTCGATCCCTTACCGGCTGGAACCACTGCTGCTCGCTCTTCTGGTCGGCCTGCTGCGGTTTCGACTTCGGCTGTGTCGTTCCATCCTTCTGGGTCCTCGTCAACAGCGTGACGGGCTTTGCTTCCTCCGCAGGTTTCGCCGGGACGTGCTTCTCTGACTTTCTCCGCGAATTGTCCTTGTTTGGCGCCGGCGTAGCTTTCCCAAGGATTCTCATTTTTGTTTCAGCTTGAGAGCCCCACGCTCCTTGGCTTTTGCGTGCAACCTCTTGATGGTATTTGTCCGAACCGTTCATCTGAGAGAAGAAAAATCATTCCGATTAGTGAGAGGAATTTTCCCACGGAGAATTTTTCCAGACTTTTCAGCCACCCACCCGCGCGCCATGCGTAATGTTGATCATCGACACGCTCGACAGAGTAGCGACACGCTTGCCACGAGCTCCGCGGCTCTCGTTCCCGGTGGGAAAATCCTCATCGAAAAGTATTTCGTAGGTGGCTTCTCGGTCGTCCGCGGATTCCTCGTCGGTTCTGAAATTCGCAAGGAGAATGTTCCCGTCTCAGGTCTGAAGGGTCACGGACGGAACAGCATAGTCATATCTGTGGCAACGATCCGGGGATTCCTCACTTGGGATACTTACTTGTGGATGCCTATCACGGTTCCTTTCAAGCCCATCGGGATGGTAATATCGGGCCTGATGTTTACGATTCTATCGTACATACAGAAGAACGCTTTTGGGTCCGGCGCGAAAAGTCCAAGATGTAATCCAGGGAGATATATGTCGCTTGCGTATGCCTAATTGTTGAGCAGTCAGTTAGTTTCGATGAGCCGCATTAGCCGATCCTGAAGTGCTTCGATATCGACCGTCGGCCAACCCACCTTGACGCTGATCAACTGGGTCGGAGCTTCATTGTGCTTGTCCACATGCCGCTGTATGGCCTCAACGACGCCTTCATCGAAAACGATGCCTCCTGATTTCTGTCGCGGTGCCTGCGGAGATTTTCGAATATTGTTAGACGTCAAACCTCCGGCAGAGAAGTCCTGCTTCGATGAACCCGCTCGCGGAACGGGGGACGAGAGAGCCTACCTTCGAACAAGGTCGCTCCTTGATCCACTTAGACACCTCTCGGACTCTATTCAGAGCGGGTCCGTAAGCGTCGCCGCTGAAGCATCTTTCCAATGGGATCTTGTCCATTTCAAAGCAGTCCCGGAGCTTCGCATAGAATTCTCCAAACGTATTGAGCAGGTCTCGTAGAGTGCTCAGAGTTGCGTGAGAGAATCTCCTGCGGAATTTGGAGACGAATTCGTCGATCAGATCAGAGTTTGATCTGAATACCCCGGTCGACATTCTGGGAAAAGCTCGATATGGCTGTGCTTACCATTCGCTACGACCATCCTTCGTTTTAATCCGTTTCGAGAAACCAACAACCTCTTCATTTTTCTTATTGAATTTCAAGTTGAGACCGATGTTTATCGTTTGACTTGTATCGGCTTCCTGTGAGTTCAACTGAACCTGAACGCAGCCGGTGAGACGCGCAACTAAATGATTTTCCAAGCCGAGTTCCCGAGCTAATCTGGAACCGAAATCAAGTCTTCTAGATCTCGGGAAACGTTAACTCTACAGGCGGATTCTCGCGATTCCCAACGAACCCCCCGGTTCCGTGTTGGACCGCCTCACTGATTGCAGACGCAGAGCTCGGAAGTCGAGATTGGGGAAAATTGTTCCGAGGATACTCACCGGAACGATGGAAGGAAGTCGTTTTTGCGCAACTCGGGCTCGCGTTTGCGAATGTCCATAAAGTCAGGTTCTTCTCGGAATTCGCTTTCGACGAGAATGTAGCCTTCGGAAAGAATCGACTTCACTGCGGCCTAAGACATGGGCGAATACGATTTTCATTAGGCGACAACCCTTCAGCAAGGAGCCAATCGGGAAATCGACGCATAAGATGGATCTCCTAGATGGAGTTCCGGTCACGCTGTCTCGTACCTGCATCCCGTATTCATTGAGAGTCATCAAGAAGACTGGGGTCTTTTCGATGAAAACCTCATCCAAAGTTTTGAAGTTTTTCACCTCGGTTTCGTGCTCCAATAGATCAGTGACTATCGTGTTGTGCAAGACGGGCACTTCACTATCCGACCACTCCTTCTCAATCGTGACCTTCAGGAAAATAAATTCTCTCAGGAATCTATTCTGAAGTTAGCGGAGTCGGATAAAGAGAATAGGAGAACTTCTAGCGGACCTCTTACCTGATCGTTCCCGCGGTACATGTATTTCCGACCGATGAGAGGTTTGCAATAGAGAATCAATTTCGGAGCCTTGCCAGTATGGATTCCCCAACGGAATTTCAACTCACTATGGAGCGACTCGAGTTTCCGGGCGTGGTCCTTGACCTGAAGGAATGAGGACCTCAGATTAGCTGCAGGAATCGGGGTCTCGTGAATCTTTGGCATGAAGAGCGCGATGCTCCCAACTCACTTCAATCTCGGACATTTTCTTCGTTCCATCGGCGGTTGTTATCGTGTTATCCGAGCAAACTTTCGCCACGATAGCCTGTTTGAGATGCGGATAATTTATGTGGATCTCCTTGCCGATGAGTTTTGCGTACGTGTCCACATCGGCTGGTTTGTCCTCCAGGTGCAAAATCATGTTATAGCCTCTCGAAGCCTGCTGGAATACCGTGCAGCCCTGCAGAAGCAGCTCGGCTCTGTGCGGCAGAAAACGTAGAGAAGGGAAACCGGGGAAATAGAAGCTGTTCTGGGTGTTCGGCAAGCGACCTACAAACGACGGCAATTGATTTGTTTCTGAGAATTTTCCTCGGCTCCAGAGCGACCATAGAAGTGATTTCGATGATTCTGAGTGAACCAATCATGAATACCGATGACCATCATTCTGTGTTCCTCATACCCTTCTTCAAGGAATGAATCTCGAGCCTATACTCTTCGGATGGGAACTCCGTTCGTTTCGCATGTGATGTGATGATATCCGGGAACCATTTGTGGCCCGGAATCGGCGACGGATAGGATTCTAAAGCTTTCGGTGTGTACTCGTACTCCAGATGAGCTCCATGCTTGTTACGCATTTTTTCGGTCTCCGTGAGGCTGGGGGAAATCGAACGGTTGAATGAAGACTTCGCTTCCGGAGAACTCTGTCGAGGGACCTCTTCCTCGAGAGGCGCGATATGTTTCCAGTTAGAGCCGCTGGATACTCACAGGTGGTCAAAGTTTTTCATCGAATTCAGTAGAATGTCTTCCTCAATGTACTTGATCAGGACGACTGCCTCCCATTCTTGTGTCTTTCCATTGAGATCCGTCTCGAAATCGTCAGGGAAATACTCTCTCAAGGGAGAATCGTCTTCCGTCATCAGACGCCTTGTAAGATAGAACGTGAAAGTGAGACTCACTAGAGCCAAATGAGCGGTCGGAATTTCGTTGATTGTCTCGTTGGTCAACCGACCTGTACGCGGCGGGAACCAGCTCCTTGGAAGCTGTTGGCATGATGGACAGGAGCTGTTGGAAAGGCAGGAACGGCTTACCGGGCTCGAAGTCGAACTTCAGATGACTGAAGTTCTTTATATCCGATATGTATGGTGAATAATGGTGAGGATAGTACCTGTCGATCAATCATTCGTTATCAGCATCATTCCTAGATCAGAGGTCATGTCTCATGTGATCCAAAATCGGGAGTAGGGAAACTCCACCGGACCGACCACAGAAATCGAAACCCTATGAGGATTGTCGATCGAGGAGTTTCTCACCAGCTCCAACTCTGGACTCCGTTGTAGTAGTAATGAAGATTCCATTGAACCGCCCGGATATATCCCTCAGCTTGTTCTCGGAGAACACTCTCAGTGACTTCATCGTAGCCCATCTTCGACATGTAGTAGTGTCGTTTCCGCTGGCGGAATTCCTCCTCCCAAATATCTTCATCGCTATCTACGTCGGGTATATCGAGTCCGGGAAACTTTTTGCGTGCCTGATAACCGGGGAGAACAACCTCGCATTACCTCACCTGATCGACAATTAATTCGCTCATCGATGCATGACTCGACCCCGGGGAGGGACTCACCGCTTCCATCTCGGTCCTCTCCGTCTTTTTCATGCCGTCTGGGTGCTTCTCCTCAATACGCTCGAACATCTCCCTGTCCCTTTCTCCGAGTTTTTTCAAGAAGACTTCGAAGTTTTTCAGATTCAGTTTGCCTTGCTCATGGAGATAGCCATCCACAGTGGGGAGGACGGAACAATATGTTTTGTGCAGGATCGGGAGCGCGTCATGAGCAATGTGAAGGTTGGGGAGATGAGGGAGGAAGTCATTACCTGACATACAGAGATAGATGCCCAGTTTATTCTCCACCGAAAATCCGGAAGGGATCCGATTCGGACATCGATCTTCCCTTGATTACTTCCCAGTCCCCCACCAGAGCGGTGAGGAACATTCGAGATTCTTACCGACTAAAAAGCACATCAGAAGCCAATCGTCGATGATATTCTCCAAGTTGTAACCCTGTTTCAAAACTCCTGGAGCTTTCAACTCCGAAAATTCGTGGTCGAGATACTCCCGGAGCAAATTCACGTGGAGTAAATGGAACGTGACTTTGTCCGCACTTTGAACTCGTTTTTGGGTATTTTTTCCTGTGGATTAGAATGACGGTTCATGAGAAGTCTTCTTTATGAGCGTCCCAGATATGATCTCCGAATCTGAAGGAGCAATGCTCACCGTATACAATTTCTTCCCTTAGCAAGGCGATATGGGGCTCATGGGTGCATAAGGCAAGCATGATGAGATCAGCGTCCTGACCGTAAATGCAGTGACGCGTGTTGGGATCATAACTGTGGAGAGATTCCCCATTCATTAATCTTCAAAACCAGTAGATACACATAAACAAGAGATGGCAGTCGAGAACGCCACCTCGTATTGCTCCCTGGTAATTTCTCAACTCACTCGTCTTGGGATCTGATATATCGGATGAAGTCCATGGCCTTGTGTTCTCCCTCCCCCGGAGCGTCATGACCACTGAGATGAATCTTCAAATTGGGCCGCTGCCAGACTGGGTCTGTCGATAATTTCATCACGACGAAGTATTTCAGCTGCTCGTGGAGTCGCTCCATAAATTCGGTTCCAGGCGATATACAATTCGAATCGAAACGCTTATCCGTCGGGAGCTCTTCGCCTTTCTGCTTTGCTTGTTTCTCGGATTCATGGGCTTCTTTCGCTGAGCTGCCGAGTATTCAAGAGATTTTCAATCTGGATCAATCATACTTGTTCGGACTCTACGTTGTCGATATGTTGAACGGATTCATTCCCCTGTAGGCGCTTTTCCGAACGTATATCTCACCGAAATCGGCGATCTCTCTGTTGGTTCATCTTAGCCCTTGGAGCTACACCATCCACAGCCATGAAGAAGTATTTCTTCGGCTTGACCATCCTGGGAGAAATTGTATGGATTAGTTGGATTAGACTCCCCCAGGAAATCTTGTCAGATTTCAAGAACTCCCCGATATCAAGACTGAATGTGATGCAATAATGGTCAGGAGTGGCTTGATTCCTCCCATAAATTTCGGCAATGACGACATTTCAACAATTCTCTGCAACATTCCCCGGAGCTCTTTCTCCTTCCGGCACCTCAAAACTGAAGTGAAGGGAAATTCGGAACGAAACATCGAGGCAGGATGTGGCTGGCTCGCTCATCATGAAGTTCACTACAGAATGTGTTCGATCAGCTGAGATATTCGAGTTCTGTATGTTGTGCCTAAAACATCACGATGCTACTCTTAGTGACAAACCTGAATATGAAGTCGATGTAATCGAAAATATTCTTGAAGATTTCGGCTTCAGTGATTCGGAAATGAGCATCGGCGTCGTTCGGATGCGAACAGACATGAATGATACCATTCATGTCCAGGTAGAGATTATCGAAATCGGGCAGCTGAAATTCGACAGGCAAGCATGAGTTCAGGACGATGGACCAGGAGCTCGCTCCGACTCTCATTCGGGGGATTAACCCGCGTATCGACCGGGAGCTTGACGCGTTCGCTCTCGATCCGAGTGCTTCCGCGCGCCGCGAAAAGCTGAAGGGATGGCTTCCTAGTAGCGAGCTCGAGCTTCGCTAGCAAGAGCTCCCTCATCCGAAGAGGTTCATCTTTCCGAACCTGACAGAAGGAAGGGGAGTTTCGAGCTCCAATATCATCCCTCCGAGCCCGCGCCGGCCACTGTAGGTGTTCGCGGAGAGGAAGATACCTGCGTCATACATATGTTGGCTGTGAACCCCGGGAGCCAAGAGGCGCCAAGTCTATTTCATTGTGCCAGGGGGAAGCTGACCCGAGTCACGAAATTTAAAACGTCTGTGAAAAAGTTTCCGATCATTGAGTACATCCCCTGACATTACCTGGTATTCTCTTGCCACCGTGGAAAGACAAGGGTATCTCTCCGATATCCATCTGTAGAATTTTGGGACTCCCATGATTTTGAGTTGGTGAGAGAGGACGCAAACTTGAAGCACTCTGAGCGCTCTCGATCACTTAAAATTGATATTCGGAGGAATCACGCTCGGGTAGCTAGTATTTCCTTCGTGTTCAGCTGCTCCGTCCAGAACGCTGCCGCATCTATGCTTTCGAACGCACGAGAGAAATTCGGTCTGCTTCCTCCAGCCGCCGCCGCCAACGAGACACGAAACTCGGCTTGTACACTTATGCGATTGTATGGCGTGATTCGTAGGCCTGCGCGTGATCCTGAGATAATGCACGCTAGTACATGTGCTGAGCCTGCGGCAGAAGCGGACAGGAAGGACGCGGCATGAAACTGTTCGAGATCAGAGTCTGTTGATGGAAAAGTGGAGACGATGATGTCGATGATCTATGCTGGAAATTCGATTGGTATCAGGCGGTCCCTTCAGCCCGATTTCTCAGCCTGCTACGGTGAGCATCGCAGTCCCTTGAGTGCGCAGCGTTTTAATCGAGGGTAGACGCTCATCTAGGGCTATCCGGGAGACTATCCGTGAACTCAAGCCAACTCTCCGCGACTTGGTACACGAGCCGACGCGGCTCGGAATCTGAATCAGGAGCCGGGTTTTTTGCCGACTCCTGGGAGGAATACCCGTGAGAGACATCCATTCATCTCGTGTAGAGAATGATCAAACCAGAAACTAGAGGACCACTCAAATACCATGAGAGTTCATTCGATAGGAGCGAAACGGCGACTCGCTCGCCCGATTCGCCCTCCACTGAAAAGCTTTATGGGGCTCCCAGATGACTCCCCTACGTTCTTTGTTTATTCCGAGGCTCCGTGGTCACTGGAACTCGATCCCATGAGCGAGAGCCGGTATCAGTCTCTCTGATTCTCTAATCCGTCAAGCTTGCAGGAACATCTCCTCCTACTCCGCGAATATTTCTCGAGGATCTTGACACCATCTACGTAATCCTCCTCTTCCTTAATCGGCGATAACGCAACGCGCTTGAATTGCCGTCCGGAAGAATACGAAACGCCTTGTGATATCCTCTCCTGATACTAGATTCTTCCAATTACGGCATGGCCGACAAGTCCCACTTTTCTCCGTAGCGATCTCGAATTCTCCACCGTGGCGATCCAGCTAGGGCGCTCCCGGAGGGATGCTCCTCTCCTGCTTGCTGAGTACGATTTGGGTAGTGTTGGTGCTTCGGCTCGCGAGGAGAATATATGTGACCGCCCGCTATTGGGAGAACAAGGGCATTCCTCACGAGTCCTTTGCGAGCTACATGCAATATTTCTTCTTCCGAAAAAATCACGAGGACTACTTCGAAACGTTGCGGGAAAAAACGAAGATGTACGGACACGTCTACGGTACGTACCAGGGCTTGAAGCCTGTCCTTCGAATTTCGTCTCGAGAACACATCAAAGAAGCACTCTCGCAAAAATTCTACCTCGCCTTCGAAAAAACCATGGCTGTGAAAACAGGCTCCGAGCTCTGGGACAACGACATATATAACGCGGACTATAAAACGTGGAGAAAGTACCGACCTTTGAGTAGTCATGTACTGACAGGACTGAAACTCCGGGCGATGAAGTCCAAACTCGAGCGAGTTGCCAATCGCTTGGCCGCGAAACTGCAGCGACTCGCTCAGAATAATGCGCAGATGCCCACCAAGACCTACGCTCAAGGAGCAGTGATGGACGCTGTGGCAGCTGTCAGTTTCAGTTTGGAAGTAGACGCGCTTGAGGATCCTCATAACCCTTTCGTCAAGCACAGCACAGGTCTCTTCGACGGTTGTCTGGGCTTGACTGTTTTGACAGCTTTCCCGCATATGCTCGAAAATTTGCCCTTCGTTCAATTCCCGTCGGTATCGACCGAGAGATTCTTCATGGATTTTGCGCTTGACCTATTGAGGAAACGCCGAAAAGAAAGTCGAAAACGGGACGATCCGGACGCGCTGGACGCCTGGCTCGAAGTTCAGACGACGAATCCCGATCTGACTGACGCCATGATGATATCGCAAATGTTCGTTTTCCTCACAGCGGGTTACGAGACTTCTGCTTACGTTCTGATGTACGTTCTGTATCTATTGGCAACCCATCCGAAAACGCAGGAGAATATCTTCCGAGATATTGAGGACAACATTTCCGATGGAGATAGCATCACTTTCGAGCAATATCACAAGATGAAACTCCTCGAAGCCGCCATCTACGAAACACTGAGACTGTATCCCACGGATCACGCCATCGATCGTGTCACAGTCTCTTCGTGTACCATTGCAGGAGTTCCTCTAGACCCGCACGTTGGTATCCAAGTCCCGCTGAGCAGCGTCCACATGGATCCCGAACGTTTTCCGGAGCCGACGAAATTCAGACCGGAGAGATTCCTGGATGGCGGTGGAAATGTGGACGATATGGTAGCCTTCGGCGATGGACCGCGAAAATGTGTCGGGCAACGTCTCGCCATTTTCCAGATGCTCGTCCTATTGGTAGCCTTCCTTCGGGTGGTGCGCCTAGAGCCAGCAGACGATGATGAGTTCTTCGATCCTTCGCTCGAATACCAGTCAGAGATCGAGCGAGTTCCGGGGCAAATATTCATGCCTTTTCCAAAGCGGGAGTTGAAGATTAAACTCGCGCCGAGGAAGTCCGTTCGCACAGAGTGAAATCATGAAGGCTCGCATCCGTCCTTTCGTCCGATGGGGGATGTGGGTAACGCCCGGTGTCCATCACTCAAATGTACATTGAATTTCAGAGGAATAAAATTTCACAGCCGCTAGCGGCCGTGCTGCGGGAACAGTAGATGTCTTCCCTTTCGGCCAATCCTAGATCTCCTGGGGGATGCCTCCTCGGGGATTGCGGAGTCATGTGGTATCGACAGCGACCTGCTTCGTCACCGAGAGCTTCGTTGATCCGCAGGGATGCAGGAGGGGATCGAATCATTCTCCTTTCCGAGCGAGGAATGAGTTGACAAAAATGCCCATCATCCGGGGACAGTCAGTCCCACTCATGTATTCCACCATGCTTTTCCGGTACCTTCCGCCGTAGGATCGATCCCGATGGCTGAGGGACGCCGCCCTCCACAAGTCCACGATCGATCGCTCAAGTCGAAGAATCATGTTGCATATCGAGTACATGTCACATAAAAGACGGTTTCACGGGAGGAACGATGGGATCGATCATCGAAAACTTCCAAATATTTCGAGAAGGAGAATTTACCTTCGGAGCGCTCGCGGTTACTCGGAGCCTCTGATCCTGCGGAACGGAAGATCAGCCGGTTGCTTGACTCGATTGAATCTCACGATCTGCAGTCGAGCACCTCTTGGGTTGTCGTTTCTCCGAGATCTCAACATAAAGCCTATCGCGGTAGAGCTAGAAGTCTACGTAGACGGGCTTGATGGCTGACGATTGGGACATATTCAATCGGAGATTCCAATCTCTCCTTAGAGCTGCTAAAGAGCCAGCCGCAAGATGCTTCGCTCCACCGTTTGCAGATCCATCAGCTCATTCATATTCCTCCTTTAGCGGCCTCGAGAGTCCGTGACCGAATGAATGATTTTTTTCTCATTATCTTCATCCTCTTCACAGACAGGGACAACCGTAAGCCAGCGCGGATAGACGCTCCTTCGCCTGAGCTACCTCGCCCTCCTCCACTTCACAAGCAAAGGAAAGTACATCTCGTTTGCGAAGAATCAGGAAAGAGCTGGACAGATATCTGATTCTTCCTGTTCATATGTGCGGTGAGAGGGCTCTTCATTCGCCATAAATGGGACTCTAATCTCTGAGTGCTCTCAGCAGTGCTTCGTTTCTCGAGTTCTGCCGTTTTCTTGTTCTGGCTCTACGGGCTATATTCAGGAAAGGAGTTCTCTGTCAGATGAAGGACCACTGGGTTCAGCTACGAAAATGTTCGTGCTTCCCGGGATAGTCTCCTCGATAACCTCTTTCTATTGGATGCTCCGATTTGTCACGAGAAGCAAGGATTTTGGAGCCGTACTCCAGATGAGCGGTTTTTTCGAAGGCTCAGGTTCCTGCTGCTAGCACTGTGGACTGAGGGTGGTTCACTAGACACTGATACTTTACGGAACGACTGATACGACAGAAACATACACTTGTAGCGCTGTTCAAGAAGGGGCAGAGCACCTAGGTCTGCGTGATATATATATAGGCACGAAAAACCCTCACCCATGTCGACGAGTTCTAGGTATTGCGAAATATAATTGCTCTGCCAATTATAACTTCTAGAGTTTTGCTCAATTATTAGAACAAAAGAACTTGATACGCAGCAGCCTTTAGGTTCTGTGACGGACCGGGGAAAACTTAAAAAATTGTGCCAAACTGGCTCCATTCCAAACAACTCCCCCTTTTTTCGTCAGTCGCTCAATCTCATTACAATGGAATATATGATAACAGATAACAATATTATATAGTGTTGACAGTTGACAGTGCGTTATAGTCGTGCGTCGTCGTTTCGATCATTCGAGAGACTCTCTTCAAATCTCGACAAAACAGATCTCGTCTCGAAGACCAACTACATCTAGAAAGATTTCGCTGACATCGTTCGCGATTTTTCGGGAGATCCTGATCACCTCCTCTCTGGTTTCTTGGTTCCCAGAGATCCTTTGCCTCATGTAGGCGACGGAGTCTTGCAGTGATGTAACATACTTAAGGATGTCCTCAGTGATTTGTTGTTGGCGTTCCATCGCAGTGGGCTGCTCGGGGTCCGAGTCTTCTTCCACCTGGTGATTCCAGTTGGACTGCTCCCAGTCATCCTCAATCTTAATGGAGTCCATTTCTTTTTTCTGGAGCTGAACATAGGTTATCTATTTGTTCAAGCTGACCCATGGATCAGTATCGGAGATGTATACATGGATGGATCGAGAGATCGTGCTCCTTCAGGCTGAACCGCTGGTGTGAAGCATCGTCTCCGACTCCACGTTTGTGTTTCTCGACGTCCACCTCGCTCGTATCGCGGTTCCCTTTGATCCCTTCCGCGCACTCTGGTAGCACTTGTGCATTTGTTATCACAAATCCGTCGTCCATTCAGACAGACAGCCACGTCGCTCTCGGTCCGTAGGAAATTCTCCCCGTTCGACGAATCCGGCGCTACTGCTCCAGTCTCCATGGAGCCCCTGTTCTCTAAGAACAGTTCAGTTTCGCATCGTGCGAAACCATCGGAGTGGGAGTATTCCTGGTTTTGCGCCAGGCCGGAATATCGCCGGTATCGGACTTTGAAGGACAGTGACTCGTCCGCCGAGATCGACATGAGTGCGGTTGGAGACGAGCTTCAAGAAATCGAGCTCCGATCCAACGCCTCGGGTTCTCCGGTCAGCACACGTAGCCTGCCGACCGTTTCCCCACAGCGGAACATTCGGAAGTGCTCCAAGATCGCCTGGTGCATCGGACTGGCGCTTATGTGCCTGGTCATCGTCGTCTCGACCAGTTAGTTTCTCACATTTGCCCCAAAATCTCTTCGAATTCCTCTTTGATCAAGTTCTCAGCTAATCCAATGTCTTTAAATTTTTCTTTCCACTTCTAGTCGTAATCTTGAGACTTGGCTTGGATCAGCGTCCAGAAAATCACCCTCAGTCCACTTTGCTAGCAGCAGGAATCTGGGCCTTCGGAACTTAACAAGCGGCAGGAGACTCCGTGACCTCGAGTCCGTACGTAGTTCTCTCTTATGCCTCAACACAACTTGGGTACTTCCTGCGGCTGCACCGAGCCACCGATCGCTTTTGGCTGCTGAACGAAGCGGTCCACGCTCTTCTCAGTGACATCATGATGAAATTATTCCTGATATACGATGATGCAGGCAACGAGGCCCCGAAGCTTCGCTTACAACTGGACATTTCAATGGAGTGACGGGGACCAGCCCCCGAATGTGGCTGGTGTCCTCTCTCAGGAATTCAGCTTACGGAATTCGATCGAGAAGATCAACAGAATCCTTGCGCTTCTGCTGGGTGTGTTCCATAAGCAGATTCTTATGAGGGTAGTCGCCACGTTTATCCGCTCCTTGATGCGGGAGTATTACATGCATATATACTCGAAACGAGCATTCGGATCGCCCACATCCTGCCCCATCAGCTCCAGCAGAGTCTCCCCGCTTCGAAAACTTGCGCTCTGGTCTCGCAGAGCCTTAAACTCGAATCCTATGCGATGTCGCGGAGTCCAGATGGACAGCCGATGGACTTGGCCGATTTCCTCAAGATTCTGCGTATCGAGAAAAAATATTGTAGAATGTTCAGAGGGTGGCTTTTTTCTCTCCGGGAGCTCCGAGCTGCCTCGGGCTCCCAACTCTCTGTATCACGTGCTTCTGTCCACCCCATCAGCTAGACTAAGCCAAACCTTGGACTCGACAGAACGTTCCATCTCGAGGGATCCGGGTGGCTCTTGGAAGTCGAACTATTCGCCGAAGTCGATTACGATCAACATAGACGCATGCTACGACCCGCGAGCAACATAAACATCCATACTAGTATTCGCAACTTCTCGAACCTTTTTTGTGTGACATCCCCGAGAAAGCTCGCCCTTCAGGGATGGATTATTTATCATTCCTTGCAAAGGAAGCGCAAACGGGGAAATTTGAAAACAACTGCGAGACGGTTCGGACCTGTGCGATGATCTAGCATAACCGTATCGTAGACAAAAGTAACGAGAGAGATCTATTGCTGAACGAGCGGAGGACGTCGAACCGATCTCGTGGGAGCAGAGAGACTCCTCACAGAGTCGAGGTGCTCCAGAAGCAAAACGGTTTCCAACACGACGCTTGTCTGAACACGAGCTCTCGGGTCATGTCTCCGGTCGGTCAGAAGTTTCGGAACCCAAGGAGTGTCTCAAGGGGAGAAACACAGCATCTTTGTCACGCTACCTTTGTGATTCTCCTGTCGAAGGTTGGATTGGATGGGGATTCTCGATCGACCTTATCCTCGATCTGATGCCTGTCATCAGTCATCAGTAACAGCATTCTCCAGCCTCTGCATATCTCTCACATTTATCGGATTCGCGGTAAGTTCCCATTTAGCGGGTGCCGCCGACGCGACTTCATAGGATTCCCTCACTCAGTCCGAAGAATTTCAGTTCGTCGGGGTTTCTCTACACAGCTTGAAGGTCTGCGAATTCTATTTTTTGGGGTTGCGCGAATAGTACATGTAATCATGCACGAGATTCGTCGAGGTTCCTAGTTTATATTACCTCCGACACGTAAGTGTAAAATCACGATAGTCAACCTTGGCTCCTCGACGCGGGTTCTTATTCTCTCAAGCGCGGGCAGTCGGCTCGGCGGATCGATCCTCGGATCGGCACCCCATTGTGAGTTTGAGGAATATCACCGACCGACAAGAGACAGCGACAATGATACTATCCCAGCGACACATGATAGATTATGTCGCTACCTAGAAATACGCGACCCACTGTGTCAAAGTACTAGCAATTGTTGTTCGGCAGGATCGATCTTCCGGTCCATTGAATTTGCCGAGGAGGCTGCCGATATCGATATCTGAAGAGCAATAATCAAACGTCGTATCGCTGCGGTTCCTAGCGCGCCAAGATATTCACGAGGATGCTGTGGTCTAGCGCGAAGCTCCCCAACATGAGATCGCCCACCGATATACCGAACGGTGTCAAAGTTGGAATGCATATGCCAGACTTGAGTTCCCGTGTGAAAGGAAAC